GTTGGAATCCCCATCTACTCTGTGGGAGAAAGATGGCAAATCTCCTTTCATGCATTGACAGTCTTAGAAATGGGCTGGAGGACCAGTATGAGTCCGTTCTGACTGGCAGCAAGAAGTTTGACTTGAGGATCTGCTGGGTCACTGGGGTAGTTATGATCTCATAGTGCCCTCCCCTACACCTCATGGCTCCACTTTTGTCTCTTGAGGCTTCTGTGTTCTAGCTGGCCTTGTGCTTTGGGTGCCTACAGCACTCCCTTCCTTGGGGTTGGACTCTGGACATCAGATGACAAGGGAGAGGCCATGCTGCGAGGGGGTGGGCCCTTGGATCTCCGTGGTGACACTCGCTTCCTCAGCTATGGGAGCGCCTGGGATGACAAAGCAAGGATAGATTTCACTTAGTGACCAGTCTCAGGAGGCCTGCAACCTGATCACTTCCGCATCGTCACCTGCGGGGAAACTGAGTTATCGAGAGGGCACTTTCAGTCGCGCCCAAAGCCACGCCCATTGCTGGCGCCTAGGGATGTTCCCGTGAGGACTAAGGGCCCCGTGGGTAGATGTGTGCTCCCCATGGGGTCGGGTTGAATTCAGCCTCTAGTTACCAGGTTTTGGCTCGAGTCCAGCTGCTTCCTTCTGTAACTACACTGTGTTTTTTCGGTTTTGTTTTGTTTTAGAGGCCAGGCACCCAGGGCTAGGGTCTTGGATTGAGGATCCCCTGGCGCCACCCAGTCTGGTTAAAGTAGGCGCACAGCAGTTCTTGGGCGCCGGGCTTTCTGATATGTGTTCACAAACATGATCTTTTTCTTTTAGAAAGGACTTCCCATGACCCTCCTCCCCCTACTCTAATTGGCCTTGCAGAAAGAACTAAAACAGAAGAAAGGGAATACAGGAAGACTTTTGCTTAGGGAAAGCCCCTCTGAGGGCTCACTTTGGGGCTGAGAGGTTGCCATGCAGAACAGGGAGGGAAAAAGTCACCAGGTGGATTAAGTTGGCATATGGATGGTGAAGAGATTGAGGTAGTTAACAGTTTTAGTTTACTTGGTTCCACAGTCAACACTCTTGGTAACAGCAGCCAGGAAATCAGTAGACGAATTGCATTGGGAAAGTCAGCTGTGAGGGACCTATCAAGAGAACTGAAGAGCAACAGTTTCTGGCTGGAGACTAAGGAGAGCCTGATCCAGGCTATAGTCTTCGCAATTATGTGTTATGTGCATCGGAGAGTTGGACAGTGAATAGGGATGATAGAAAGAGAATTGATGCCTTTGAGCTGTGGTGCTGGAGAAGAGTGTTGAATATACCATGAAGTGTTAAGAAAACAAACAGGTTTGTCCCGGAGAAGGTGAAGCCAGAATGCTCCTTGGAGTCAAGAATTCTGAAGCTTTGTCTGACATACTTTGGGCATGTTGCAAGGAGCGACTGGTCCTTGGAGTGGGACGGCGCAGGGGAGAAAAACCCTCAATGAGATGAATCGATTCTGTGGGTGGAGTTGTGGGAATGAGTGTGTTTGAGACGGCGAGGTTGGTACAGGATAGAATGGCATTTATGGCTCTTGTACATAGGGTTGCTATGAGTTACATGCGACTCCATGGCATATAACAACAATTAAGAAAATGGATAGGTCTAGGGCACTAGTGAACCCTCATCTGTGGACCCCTTCCCCCGACATGAAAATTAATCTCTTAGTCTTAAAGGGTTCTGTGAACTGGAATTGAAAGCAATGAGGTTGGTTTTGTTGTTGTTTTTTTTTTTAATTTTTTAGGGGGGGTGTTTTTTAGGTTAGGCCTAGGCCTGGGGTTAAGAGGGGCCTTGATTCATTTCCTTTGAGGAAGACCAGTGTAGATCAGTCTGGACCTCCTTGTTGTCTTTGGTTCCATCTAGGAAGGCTTGATCCCATACCTCCAAGAAAATCAGCTAAACTCCAGAAAACCATGTCAAAGTATTGTGGTGGGATTATCTAAGGGATAGATAACAAAATCTGAAGTCCTCATGCCTGCTTGTGTCCTAGTCTCAGGTCTCTTCTTTGACTCCAACTCTTTAACCTACTAATTTCAGGTTCTTTCACCACCTGTGCCCCCTAGACTGCACCACAAAGCCCAACAAAGAATAGCAGAGCTGCTCACGGGGCCAAGGAGATTCAAGTCATTCCATTTCAGTCCCATTTCTAAGATGAGAAAACTGACAGGCATTAGTCCAAGGGTGATAGGTGGGAGGTGTTTCCAGATTTAGGGCCAAGTTTTTCAGGTTAATGAAAATATGCTGGAAGGTGAGAAGGGATCTCGAGGAGGGGGGCAGGTAATGGTGAGGGATTGGGGGGGGTGTCTGCATCCCAGGGAGGGGACAAAGATTGGTAGGTGCAAGAAGGAGGCTTGGATCATAAGGAGAGGCTCTGACTCCACGACACGCTGAACTGTCACCCAGACTCTCTGGGCTCTTCCTGCTACAGTGTCCTGCTGAGGCCCAGGCAACACTCCCCAGGGCTCTCCCTCTACCCACCAAACACCGGTAAGGTGTCACGGTGTCACTGGGTGGTGGGGGACAATGGAGGCCGGGGATCCCCAGTTCCTGAAGGCAATCATGGGATGCTGACTCATAGACCACCTGACTGTGGGGCAGCAGGCAGAGAGGGCCCTGCCAGGGGGTTCCCCAGCGTGCAGACTTGTTTACCTCTTGGCGGGCCTTGGGCGGGGAGGGCAAGGGCTGGCTGGGCAGCAAGGAATGCTGAGAAGGGCCGGGCCTGGCTCCCTGAGGATGCCAGGCTGGTAGAGGTCTTTTGATTGCTTCTAGAGACAATTTCTTGGTAACTCCTTTCTCTTTTAGCCTCCTCAACGCTCTCTACAGGCCTAACGGGCCCAAATTGGGAAAAAGCAAAAGAATTCCTAGTGGCCTCCTTACGGTCCCCCTGCTTGTTTGGGCACAAGCCTTGCTTTGGGCCGACCCTGAAATCATCATTCCAATGCCTTTCCTGTGTGCCTCCGCCCAACTGAGACCGGACACTGGAACTCTGGGGGAGGGGCGGTCGACAGAGTGGGAGCTTGTTCCTCTTTTAACCGCCAGGGGTGGCTATGTCTCCTGGGCCTAGGTGCTGCCGAGTCATGCAGACTTGCACCTGCCATAGGCCTGCAGTTTCTTCCCATTCCTTGACCCTTCTGGTAGGGCCTTCGAGTTAGAGCCCTGAATCGCTCCGACTTTCCCAGCTTTTACACGATGGTGGATGATGCAGGGGCGGGCAGTGGAAAGGGAACTGTTCTTTCCATTTGGCCGCTCTGAGGAACCTTGTGGGGAAGGACTTGCGCTGACAACTGTGAAGCAGGGTGCTGAATCCCCCAGCCATTCTGAGGGAGAAACAAGGGCAATCTCCTCTCGTGTATTTAGAGCTTCTGAAAACCCACCGGAGGTTTAGCTGTGAATAGATTCCAAGTCATGGCACAAAATAACAGCAGCTCTGGGGAGAGGTGACAGGCTTTTGGAAAGGTCCTCATGCAGTCTACAGCCCTTAGCGAACAGCCACCCTTACAGAAAGACCCTTGCTTTCTCCTGCACTTCATATCACCTCCATTCCTGATTACCTGTGACTTGAGCCAGTTTTCCTTTGTTCTCTTCTTTACCTAGGCCTCTTACTCCCACAAAACCTACTGTGAGAAAAGCATACAGTTGACTTAGCAGGTTGGACCTTTCACTCATGGGACTCTATCTGGGTACAAATAGGGTGACATTACCCTTCCTGCCCAGTTCCTTCCAAGGCTCTCCCTGGGATCTGCTGAGAGGTGCTTCCTCGGGTCTCTCAATACATCACTTTGGTCACATAAAGCGGTATTTCTTAGCTTATAGCTTGAGGGTGGTTGATCTGTCCCACTGTCCATGATACATGATACCAACAGGTTATGACCATAGATTCTTGGGCTTTACCTATTGAATTGAGAGACCTAGGCATCCAGTGGGAGTCCAACTCATGGCACAAAATAATAGCAGCTCTGGGGAGAGGTGGTGCTAACCCAAAGGTGGTCCTTCCGTGGTGGTTCAAATCCACCAACAGCTCTGCAGGAGAAAGATGGGCAGTCTCTTCTTGTACAACTTACAGCCTCTCAAAAACCTGCTATGGGGGGAGGGGGGAGGGGTTTGTGCGGGGAGAAGGGTGCAACAATGAATGAATGGAATTCCAAAATCTCTGTAGATGTTCATGGAAATGAAAAATAAACTAAATTAATAAAAATAATAATAATAAAAAACAACAACAACAACAACAACAACAACAACAAAACCCTGCTATGAAGGTCAGCTATGATTTAGTTCTGTCATGACAGGAATTGAGTTTGAAGGGTTTTTATGTTAGAGGAAGTCTTAGCTGGCCGTCCAGCAAGCAGGGGTCTCTGTGCTCTCCCTAGCCTTCAGCCCTGTATTCTTCTACAACCCCTTAACCCATTCCCCTCACCCATTAATCTGGGATCTCCTCTTGTGGGTCATGGATGCTGAGGTCTGTTATATTCAGGAGACTGATTGCCATGAATGACCTGGGGGATTTCTAAACTTGGCAGGGTTCATGGTACTATCCCTTGGAAGGGCTACTTATTGTGGCCAGTATTACCCACTGGATTGCCTAGTCATCTTCTGGCATCAAGCTTCTATTTTGCTGAGTCACAGCGGGGCCCAGGCCTGAGAGGCCTGACCCTTGCTCTAAAACAAAAACCAGAGACCAGCTTAGATAGATGTTAGATTGCTAGGGCAGGCGTCTTGCGGTTCCTGCTACACTGGAACAGTGAGATGAGGGTCTTTCAATGACGGGGGATCCTAGGATGGTGGTAATAGACAAGGTGTGGAAACTCGAGCAGGGCCCGGGCAGGGGGGCTCGCGCGCACGGCGGCTGGGCCGTGGGGACGGAGACTGGGGAGGAGACCCCGCCCCCAGGCGGCCGGGCGGGGCGGGGCTTCTCTTCGCGGTTCCTATAAAGGACGCGCACCCGAGGCCAGTGCGGTGCAGTTTGGCCTGAGCTACTTCGTCGTTTCAGGATGGCTTCGCTCACTGTCAAGGCCTACCTTCTGGGTAAAGAGGACTCGACACGCGAGATCCGCCGCTTCAGCTTCTGCGTCAGCCCAGAGCCCGAAGCGGAAGCCGAGGCCGCGGCTGGACCCGGGCCCTGCGAGCGACTGCTGAGCCGGGTGGCCGCCCTGTTCCCCGCTCTGCGGCCCGGCGGCTTCCAGGCGCATTACCGCGGTGAGCAAGGCCGGCGGCCGCAGTGACGCAGGCCAGCGGCCTCCTGAGGGCCTGCCCCGTGGGACGAGGGGAGGGGCAGCTGCCAGGCCTTCAGATCCACATCTAATGGGGTGAGGGCGGGGTGCCGAGTGGGCCCGGGTCTGTGGCGGGTCCACAGTTTGGGAAATGGCAGGATTGGGAACTAGGAGTGGGTTCTTGCTCAGTCTCAGCTGGTCAGCGATGGCCTTTCTGGGGCCAGGGTCTGCCGGACAGGAGGGTTTCAGGCCTAAAGGCGTTGGATCCCCCGTACTCCCCCTCGCTGATGCTGTAGAACTTGGCAGGACCGCTCGGGGCGTCCTCTCGCCTCCCCGCGGGCGGTGGGCACTCTGGTTACACGGACACCTTTCGACGGTGGAGTCGGGGGCAGCTTGTCCCGGGTGGGTCCCTGTCCTGCACCTCAAGAATCGAACTGAGGAGGAGCAGACCTGGAGGAAGGGGCACGGGGGCGGGGAGGGGCAGGTGTGACGCAGGTAAACAAAAGAGGGGTTTGGGCAGTTATTCGAGACAGCTGCCCTGAGGAGACGTGGGGACCCCACCACCGAAGGCCCGTAGCAGGTGAGGACCGACGTCAGCTCTCGGAGTGGGGCGCGTCTGTAGGAGGCTGGAGGGCCTTTGGGGGCCTGAACTCCTAGGGTTGCTGCTGGGGGTGGGGCTGAGGTGGTTGTGTCTGCGGAGGAGGCGGGGCCGGGGCGGGCCCCTGGGAGGGGGGTGCCCGGGCCTCCCCAGCGCAGCGGCGGGGGTGGCTACCATAGCTTTTCCATTTGGGAACCTCTTCCAGTTTCTTCCCTGTGATTCGCGTTATTGTCAATCCTTCTATTTTACCCCTTCCTGACTTCTAAATTTTATTTCTGGGTAAATGCAGTCCTTTTGATCTTAGTAGCTGATAGTTGGAAGGAAGTGAGTACCTCTGTGGTGTTATCACAGAACTAGCTCAGCCATGCATTTTACTCATTACACAGTTTTATAAACTCACTGATTTTTAGCGTAACTGTGCAACCATCTCCACAGTTTTAGAACATTTTTTAACACCTAAAATGAAACTTCATCACCTCATTCATGTTTTTTAGCTGTTACCCTTCCCCTCTCTCCAATTACATCTATCTTTAAACTACTAATACTCGACTTTCTGCCTTTATTGCTTTGCATCTTCTCAACCTTGAATAAATGGAAATATTTTCCATTTTCTGGTAACTGCCTCCTTTCACTTGTTTCACTATTTTCAAAAGTGTGGAGTCATAAGATGATGCAATAGTACACAAAAGCAGTCTATATTGTATTATAATACACTTGAGGGTGACTCCCACGTTTTGGCACAGCACCTGGCTTTGAATGTTGTGATCTGGTGGCCATCCTAGTCTCTTGCTGTAGATGGATGATGTGGGTTTCCCTGCATGATGGTGGCTTAAAACCATGTGAACCTACATCCTTTCTGAACCATGTCAGAATATTTAGGCAATAATGCCTTTCATCCTGTTTCCCCTAGCTCACATGGGCATTCCAGTTGATAGTTCCTGACATGTCCCTGCAACACATACTTCTGCCCATTTAAACAATTCATATCCTACCAGAAGCCCTCTGTACTTATTTGCTGCCTTTTATCTCGTCTAGATGAGGATGGAGATCTGGTTGCATTTTCCAGTGATGAGGAGCTGACAATGGCAATGTCCTATGTGAAGGATGACATTTTCCGTATTTACATAAAAGGTAAGTGCGACTCTGGGTGCCGGTAAGGGGCTCCATGCTGAGAAAATAATAGGATTTGAGGGTTATTTACTGCAGAGGCATGATAAATTCTGAATTTACCATTAGAAAGAATCTATATTCAACGTTTGGAGAATGAGGTGTGAAGGGTCTCTGGGTTTATTCTTAATTGTGCCTGGACCAAGTGCCATGGGCCTTGGGGTAGTTTTGGGGCTGTGGTGCAGGGTTTGTTTTAATGAGGATCAAGGCCAAAATATGCCAACACAGTTCCTTACTGTTCCTCAGCCTGGTTTTCAGGAACAAGAATTGGGCATTTCCTAGTAGGTTCTCTGATTGCTTTGTTGCTGTCACCTGAACAGCTCAATTCTATGTGGATTTGGTATGTGCATGGGGATGAACATAGTGACAACTCTGAAATGGTGATGGAGGGCAGGACTTTGGAGACTTCACCTGAAGGGTTCTCTCCATCCTACCTGCAGAGAAAAAGGAGTGCCGGCGGGAACACCGCCCCCCATGTGCTCAGGATGTACCCCGAAGCATGGTACACCCCAATGTGATCTGTGATGGTTGCAATGGTCCTGTGGTGGGAACCCGATACAAGTGCAGTGTCTGCCCAGACTATGACCTGTGTGCTGCCTGTGAGGGGAAGGGCATGCACAAGGAGCACAGCAAGCTGGCCTTCCCTAGTCCCTTTGGGCACCTCTCTGAGGTGAGTAGAGCTTCCGTGCAGACCTCGGGAGACTGCTGGGGTGGCAGGAACCCCCTGACCTTGTGCTACCCTGTTCCTCTGTTTACTCTTCCCAGAGCTTTTCTCATAGCCGCTGGCTCCGGAAGCTGAAACATGGGCACTTTGGGTGGCCTGGCTGGGAAATTGGCCCACCAGGCAACTGGAGCCCTCGGCCTCCTCGAGCAGGGGATGCTCGTCCCAGTTCAGCAGCTGAATCAGGTGAGGCTTACATGCAGCCTATCCCATGTTGGCGAAGGTCAGTCAAGCTGGAAGACTATTTGTATTCCCCAGTGCTGTTAACCCAGGACTTCCACATGCACACAGCTAGTCTAAGTCCATGAAGGGTTGAGTGCTTTCACAGCACTTCTGTCATTTAATCCTTACAGTAGCCCTACAGTAGGGATCTTTACTCATTTTATAAGTGAGAAAAGTGAGGGGTAGCAAGGATTGTCTAAATCTACTAGTGCACCCCTCCCAGCAGTCACCAAGTGGCCTGTCTAGGTACCCTGAATTCAGGCCATAAGGCCATCAAGTCCTTGGAGCATCAAAGGACTCTGTTCTTTTGTCAGCTTTCAAGAAATCCAGAACCTGTCTTCTCTGAATAAAAGAAAAACTCCCAAAGTAGCAGGAAGTAGCTTAACTCCACCCCTAATCATCATATTCCTTTAAGGCCTGGAATGAAGGAAGAATGTTACAGTTGCCTCCATGCCTGATCACTCCTTGAAGAAACCTCATAATGTCTAAGGCTGACCAAACCAGGACCAAACTAAGCCTGATCACAAAAGCTCACACCCAAGTTAAGCCCCAAATTCCTAGCAAAATACCATCTTCCCTGTTATTGTTGATTGCCAACTCATAGCAACCCTATGAATAAAAGGCCTAAAGCCTTTATCAAAGTTCATAGTTTCTGGAGGTATGTTGTTAGGAAGTGGATGCACTCATCTTCCCTGTTATGGTATGTGCTTTTAGACTCATAGCTACCCTATGTACAATAGCCCTAAACCCTCCTCTACCCTGTTCCAATCTTATTGTCTCTGACACACCTACCTGCATTACACCAGTAACTGAATCATCCCATCTCATCGAGGATCTTCTTCTACTGCCCTATCTCTCCACCTTCCCAAGTATGACATCCCTCTCCAATGACTGATCCCAACTTGCAACACATCCAAAGTATGTCTGATGAAGCTTCAGAATCCTTGCCTCCAAGGATCAGCCTGACTTCACCCTCTCCAGTATGAACTTGTTTGTTCTCCTAGCAGTCCATGGTATATTTAACACTCCTTTCCAACACCACAGCTCAAAGGCATCAATTCTCCTTCTGTCAACCCTAGTCATTTTCCAGCTTTCTGATGCATAGCAAGTAATTGCAAAGACCATGGCCTGTATCAGTCACACCTTAGTCTTCAGACTGGCATTGTTGCTCTTCTGTACTTTGGAGAGGTCCCTGACAGCAGACTTTCCTAATGCAGTTCATCTTTTAATTTCCTGGCTGCTGGTCCTCCCTAAAACCCCATATAAAAAGGAACTTGTCTGCACCATTTTGCCCTCCATATGTGGCCACTTGGCGTCCTCCACAGACCACAAAATAAAGGCCTTTCTGTTCCTTGGGCAGGGTTGGGGGACACACACCAAACTTCCAAAGTTAAATTTATACATAGCTTGTAGTTTACTGTGTTGGGTTCTGATTTTATCTTGATTTAATTAATCCCAATATGTATTTTGTTTCATTTCATTCTTTGGGAAAAGGTGGCAATATGTTTCATTTTTTAAAAAGAACAGATTTCAAGAATGACCAGTATTTACATATATCCTGAGTCCTACTGGGTTACCAAGCACCAGGGCCACAGACGAAGAAGTAGTTTGGAGGATGTAGTAGAACCATGTGGCCTCATAGGTGCCAGGTGGTCAGTATATGGGCTGCCATGATGAGGCATCAGCTGGAATGCATAGCCTGTCTGGGTGATAGGGACCTTGGGAGGAAGATGACAAGACTCTGAATAGGCATCAGAATCATTGAAAAATGGTTTGAATGACATACCTTTATTTTTACTTTTAAAATTCAAAGCCTCTGGTCCCTCAGAGGATCCAAATGTCAGCTTCCTGAAGAATGTAGGGGAAAGTGTGGCAGCTGCGCTCAGCCCTCTGGGTAAGTGCACTATCATCATTTTATAACAGTTGAGCGTTTTGTTAACTTAATGTGAATATGGCCTTTCACCACTGATACTCTGTGGAGGGATGGTAACTCATGTGATCTGGAAACTGTTGAATATATCTTGCCTCAGTCAAGTACTAGATCAGAGACAACTCCAGCTTCACAACTCTGACAAACTCGTGAGACTTATCCAAGAAGGAGCATAGATGGGACATTCTTAATAGGGAAGGTTACCAGTCTTTGGTAAAAATACCCAGTTGTCAACTTTTGAATGCCCTTTTGTAGCACAATTTGCATTTTCCTCTAAGGTGAGCCTTGGGATCTCTCAAAGACTTGGGTAAATATTTATCTGAGGTGCCATTTATTTCTCCCTTTTTATAAACTTTAAACCTTTCTTAAGTGTTGCCTGGTCCTGGCCTTTTGCAAAGGAGTAAGGGGAATGGTGGAGGGAGGCTACCATCACAGTAATTCAGTGCCCCCCCCTTTGTGGTGTGGCCTGACCTAAGGGCAGCCCTGGGGCTCACTCCTGTCACTTTAGAAAGCATCTGCTTATTTGATAGCCTGAAAGTGGGTGCCATAGGGCTAGGTTTTATAACATTAAGAATCAGCTAATGAAGGGAGTACTGGTGGCCTAGTGGCAAGAAGCTGTAGTGCAATCCCGAAGGCTGTGGTTCGAATTCACCAGATGCTCTGCCAGAGGAGGGACAATCTCCTTTTGTGCCAGTCAGATCCGATTCAACAGCACACAGAAAATTAAAAAAAAAAATAAAAAATCCGCTAATGAAGAAGACTTCTTTGAGAATATGGTAAATCCTAGGAAAAAGAGTATATCTTTCTGCCTATAGTGGAAGTATTCAACCTGTTCAAAACTCACACGTTTGCAAGAATATGGTACCCACCACCTACTCTGGTTTACAGGATTACTATCTCCAACTTCGACCACTCCTACTCCTAGCGATTTTGCCCCAGAACATGCCTCTTTGGCTGGTTTGTTTTCTAAGGGCATGCCTTTGAAGCAGCAGCAACATTGCTGCTAAGATGAAACAGCTCATACTACACTTGGTTTCTGTACCACTAAAGGCTCTTGACAGTATAGGAAAAGATAAGCGTAATGCTTTTCCAAAAGGATAAAACAGAAACACATGATTGTATTTGGGAGATAAGTTCTGTCTACACACCAGCTAACCTTGAAGATAAAGTAAAAGTCTGAGGCGTGGTCATCCTGCTAACAGCCATGGGAAACTCATCTGTGGAAGTCAGTAGAATAGTCCTTCTTAGGCCTGACAGAGCTTCCCTGACAGTATTTTGGTCTGCCTTTTTGGTGTATGGAAACTTTAGTAATAAGAATTTTAAAAACTAATTATTTCACTACAAAGAACACCACGTTCTGGGAAATCACAACCCAAGTTTTTAAGGTCCTACCCTTCTTGACTGTTTCGGGGTAGTCCTGGATTCTCTGTAGGCTTCCAACATGATCTTGTATCACATTGGATGTCTCCCTGGAGCCATCTGTACCTGTGGAGTATTTGAGAACTGATGTGAATTCCCTACTCAAGACGTATGGGAATAATTTTAGAAGTGCTCAGAGGTCTCTTGGGGTTTAGATGAAGTTAAATGAGGAGGAGGACCTTGGCTCGCTACAAAACACAGGGATTTTGAGTCAAAGATGGCTGAGTAATTTCCACTGAGATTTTTTTGAGGAACTGCTTAAATTCTGTTGGTAAAGTGATGGGTATTTGTTTTTCTTATGAGGAATTAATGGCCTATCAGGAACTTTTTTTAGAGGAGGGGCCCAAAGAGGACTGAGTCAGCACTATCCTCCCAGGAGATGGTGTGGGAGTGAGTCAAGTGAATTAAAGAGCCACAGCTCTTTGGTAGGTGTTGGAAGAACCAGCTAAGTGATTCCACTTGAGGTGGAAAGCTGAGTCTTTGCTCAGAGGCCATAGTTTCTGGCATTTAAGATGTAAAGCAGCAGGGTCCTTCAGTATCATGGTGTTCTGGGTAAATATATACACAAGTCTGGTAAGCCACAAAGACTGGTCATCAAATTGGAGAGCTCCTAGTTCTATAATCTTTGATCCTGTTTGTAGAGAGTCACATCACTTAAAAGGACTAAACAAATACATGTGTTTACTATACTATTCCTTCAACTTTTTTACTTTCTTGAATATTTTAATAATGAAAAATTGGAAGAAAATATGGGGAAAAATAACTTATGGCAAATATCAGTACTTATAGTTAAGCCTGCATTTGTCTTTGTTTCTTCCCCCAAATTCACTAATATAACAGACAGTAAAGATGAAACAGAAAGGCATGAATGGTGTAAGAGCTCACCAAGTTTTGAAAGATAAGAAATGGCTACAAATGGTAACCAAGAATGGTAGCATCAGAAGCCCGTGTGTCTGCACAGGGAACACTGGTGAGGGACTGGAGTCTGCTCAGGCATTGAGAGAGGCATAGGTGCCAGGAAAGGTGAGGTGGGAGTGACAGGGGTCAGGTACAAGGTGTCTAGTTGAAAACCTCCACAAGTGATCACTTTGAGATCACAGGTCCCCCACACAGCCTAATGAGCCCTTGCAAGAGAACAGTTTAATTCCTGGAGCACCTGACCCAGGGAAACTTTGCCCATAGGGATTAGAAGAGGATTGGATGAGGCACCAGACTAGAGCTGGGCATGAAGGGGGTCTGACCAATGGGGCCAGGCAGCAGATTGGAAATTCCTGCTCAGGAGGACTCTGACATCTGCACTCCCTAGTGCTGACCAGGTCCCTAGTCAGCCTGCAGATGGGATGCCGATGGTGCTCTACCCTACAGTCAGCCTTGTCCTAGTGCCTTGCCAAGAGCGCATCATTAATACTAGAAAAAGAAAACCATAAACTGAAACAAAGTCCCAGCAAAGAGCAGTACTGAATGCTGAATGTTAAACAAATTTGAGTTTCTGCATTTGAGAGGACAAATACCACTCTAGAGTGAGACTCACTGCTGTCAAATTGGAATCAACTTATAGCTGACCCTCCACTGGGTTTTTGGAGGCTATATATCGCATGAGAGGAGAGGGCCCATTTTTCTTCCGAGGATTCTTGTTGGTGGATTCGAACTACCAGAGAACCACTCCCTTAAGGTTAGCAGTGCAACCCCTACAGACTGTACCACCAGAACTCCCTTAGAATGAGCCATCGATAGATGTAATTGGGCATTTATGAAAGAGCAGTTGAGCTAGAAGTTGTCTTTGAGGAGTGGACTGGGATATATAGGGAATTGCCGTATTTTACTCTAAGCCTTTTGGAAGTATTTGACTCTATGCTGTAGCTATATAGTCTTTAAGTGAAAATTAATTTTAAAAACCAGGCACTGGTTCTGTCCACTGTCCCTTTACAAATATGGGATTTGGGCTGGATTCTGCCTCACAACCTCCCATCCATCTTGATCCATTTTGTTTGCCTTTTGAGGCAGAATTCTAGTGTTTTTGTTTTTCATATCAAAAGGTCCCGACATATAAGCCAAATGCTTCATGTAGTTTCAGTCAAGGAAACCCTGGCTGAGTTATTTAGTCCCGAGTATTTGGCTGCCACCTTGTTTAAGGGTCTGGTTTGCTGCCCTTGCAGCCCTTAGTGAACCAGGGTGGCTGAGTCCCCAGTCCCTGCCACAACAAACTGGGTGTCTTACAGCCTTCACAAGTCTTCTGACACACATACTCCTGCTCATAGGCTCTGTTTGCTTCCTGTAGGCACAGGGAGATATAGCTCGGATATCTGGACTTGAGTCCCCTCTCTGGGCTCATTATCTACTCCACTGCTCTCCATTTCCAGATGCTCAGACTCTGCTATTACTCTTCACTTCCTGCTGCCTGCTGATGACTCTTCCCATCACCAGGTCTTTTCTTCTACCTTCCTGGCTGACACTTTGGGACAGAGCTGGCTCCTTGGATGGCCTCTCTTGTTCATGCCTGGTTGTGGGTTGGGTTGAATCTCCCTTGGAGCACTCTGAAGGCTTGTGGAACAGAAATCATAAGGCTGAGTAGCCTCCTAGTCAAGGGTAGCAGAAACAAGATCTGTCTGCAGACTTTCTGCTCAAGCTGATTGTGGGTGCTAGCTAAGTTCAAGGAAGGAAAGGTCTAATATGATGGACATAGCAGGAAAAGGTTTTTATTTTATTATTTTTTTTTAATTTTGTGTGCGTGTACCGTCAAATCAGATCTGACTGGTACAGGAGGATATTGCGCCTCCTTCTCCGGCAGAGCGTCTGGTGGATTTGAACCGTGTTCCTCTGGGATTGCAGTGCAGCTTCTTGCCACTAGGCCACCAGAGCTCCCCAGGAAAAGGTTTTTAAAAGCCAAGTAATAAATCAGAGTTTTTAGGTCAGGATGTTGGGAGACCTTGAAGATCAAAAATGACCATACATTTGCATTCTAGCTCTTGAGTTTATAAGACTTATCCTCGTCCCATAATGGCCATGTGACATTGCCAGTGTCTGTGTCCTCATATCCTTACTCCTTTCATAAGGATGGGACCTGAAAGAGATCTGTTCTCCTGCAGTCCCCAGCTCTATGAGGGATTAACTTTGATTTTTTTTGCAATCCCCTCTGTGAAGGACTTAGTAGGTTTTTGTCCTTTCCAGGCATTGAAGTTGATATTGATGTGGAACATGGAGGGAAGAGAAGTCGCCTGACACCTGCTTCTACAGAGAGTTCCAGCACAGAGGAAAAGAACTGCCCACAGCCAAGCAGCTCCTCTTCTGTCCCCAGCAAACCAGAGGGCAACGAGGATGGCACAGCACAGTCTCTGACAGAGCAAATGAAAAAGATTGCCTTGGAGTCTGTGGGACAATCTGAGGTAAGCCAAATCTTCTGGGCATTTTCTGCCCATAGCACCTCTCAGCCACCTTCACTCATTGGCGCTAAAAGGCTGTTTTGGGGTTTTTAAGTTATTCTCTGAGCCTTCTGCTTCCGTTTATACAGAAGAATATTCTTGACGTTGGCAGCAGCTGCTGACTGTGCTCATATCTTCTGGCCAACCCACTGCTCCCAGCCCCGCAGCTATCACTCCCCGGAATTTTGTGCTATGATCTGGCTCTGCCTATAGCTCATGTTCCTTATATGCTCATAATGAGTTTTGTTCCAGGAACAGATGGAGTCTGATAACTGTTCAGGAGGGGATGATGACTGGACACATTTGTCCTCAAAAGAAGTTGATCCATCTACTGGTGAGCTCCAGTCTCTACAGATGCCAGAATCTGAAGGACCAAGCTCGCTGGACCCTTCCCAGGATGGTCCCACAGGCCTAAAGGAAGCAGCATTGTACCCACATCTTCCACCAGGCAAGTCTTTAAACATTTATGCTTTCTCCTTTTCAGAGCAGTTCTTGTTCACGAGCCAAAAAATAGGACCTCAATTTAGATACCATCTCAAGAATAGATGATGCCTTAAACACTAATGACTGAAGACTAGATAAGTTGGGAGATCACAAATGAAGAAAGTAGAATTCTGGTCACTTAAAACTATACGGTAAATGAAAAGACCAAAATGGAAGTTAGAAGAGACTCTAAAATTTGCTCTACAATGTAAAGAAGCAAAAAGTGAAAGGAAAAAATGATGAACATATCAAGTCATGATATGTTATGATCAAAACTTGACAATCAAGTCACTTCATAACCAATGGTACTGAAAAAAACCCAAGTTGCACTGAAGGCATTTGAAAAAAAGTAAGGCTCTAGAAATGGACAGAATACCAAACCAGCTAAAGTGTTTCAGCAAACACATGGGCACACTTATTTTTGTCAATAAATATTATATAGGTATTTGGTTAATTGATTGGAAAAGATCCATATTTATCCCCATTGCAAAGAAAATCAACAGAATGTGGAAATTATTGAACATCATTGATAATCACATACAAGTATCTTGCTGAAGTTAATTAAAAAATGGTTCTCAGGGAGCTCTGGTGGCCTAGTGTTAAGAAGCTGCACTGCAATCCCAGAGGTAAGTGGTTTGAATCCACTAGATGCTCTGTTGGAGGAGAAGGAGCAGTCTCCTCCTATACCAGTCAGATCCAATTTGATGGTACACACACACACACACACACACACACACAATTTTAAAAATAAATAAATAGGTTCTCATAAAAAAAGAGAATATGTTCAAACCTGGTAATACCAAATATACACTTAAAAAAAATTCAAGTGAAAAAAAATGTTCTCTTGCTGAAGATAATTGCCAGATTAAAATATAAGCAAAGATATCTAGCTGAAGGCAATTAAAACCATGGACAAAGAACTGCCCTAATTTCAAGCTGTGTTCAGAAGACATGGAATGAGGTGGTGTCAGATGGACCTTGGCTGAAAGCAGAAAATACCAAAAAGATTTTTCCTTGTTTTATTGACTGTGCAAAGGTATTAGACTATGTGGATCATAACAACACATGGGTAACATTGAGAAGAATAGGAAGCCCAGAACCCTGTTAGGGTTCATGTGTATAGTAGAATCTATACATAGAGCAAGAAGTAGTCATTGTATGGTTTAAAATCAGAGAAAAGTGTCAGGATAATATCCTTTTATTCAGGAAGTAGCTAAGAGAATACGCCATCCCCTTTTCCTTATGACTCAGGGTGAAGTCTCTCTCAGGGAGGAGTGATAGGGAATGGCAAAGGACACACTGACAAAGAAGATTAATCAGAACTGGCTTTGACAAGCACTGTGGCATTTGGACAAGAACAAACTGGGAGGAGGGTAGAGAGAATAGTGCAACAATGAATGAATGGAAACCCAAAATCTCTGTAAATGTTTATGAAAATTAACAAAATTATAGAAAAAAATATCCTTTTATTGTATCTATCCAGTCTGTTTGCTGAGCAAATAATCTGAGAACCTAGACTATATGATGAAGAATGTTGTTATAAGGATTGGAAGACAACCACCCTGAGAGATGCAGATGACAGTCTTGCTTAGAAAGTGAAGATAACCTGGAGCACTTACTGAAAAGCTAATGTTTGGAAAAAAAAGCAAGAATATCATTATATATGAAAATGATACATAATTCAAATTTCAGTGTCCACAAATTATTAGAGCTCAGCCATGCTCATTTTGTTTTTAAATATTGTCTAGACTTTTGTGCTACAATTGCTGAGTCAAATATTTAGTTGTAATAGAGAACATATAGCCTCAAAGTTTTAGCTCTCTGGCCCCTTACAGAAATCCCTGCATGAGGGGTCCCTGTTGTGAGGGTTAGAGGGCACACATGGAGGATCTGAGCCGCTAGGCACTGGGTTCTTGCTGGTGAGAAGATGAGAGGCTGTTGGAGTTGGCACATGCTGGGTTCCATGGTAGCTTTTCGTCATGGGTGTCTGACTCTTTTGCAGAAGCTGACCCCCGGCTGATTGAGTCCCTCTCTCAGATGCTGTCCATGGGTTTCTCTGATGAAGGTGGCTGGCTTACCAGGCTCCTGCAGACCAAGAATTACGACATTGGAGCTGCTCTGGACACCATCCAGTATGCAAAGCACCCACCGCCATTGTGACAGTGTTTGCTCACATAGCCTGTACCCTCTTTTTGTCTTAGTTGTGTTGAACTAGTATAGAATAGCAGGGCCTCTGTAAGGTCCAATTTCTCTGCATTCTTCCAGAATCTGGGGGTTAGGGAAGCTAGTTAGGACAGTAGAACAGGTGACATGAGGCAAGAATTCCAGGTATGGTATGTTTGAGAACTTGGCTGTTTTCAGTTTGATGTTTGAGAAATGAAACCAGCATCCCTCCATGTGCTTTATCTCTGAGCTTTGCCCTTGTTGAGGAAGATGCGGAGGGCACACAGCAGCCTATTTATGTCCCTACACCCCCAGGATGATACCAGCAGTCCAGAATATATCTTGCCTAATGACCTTCTACATTTTCTTTTTTTTTTAAATGCCTAATAGTATGCTGACATTTAGTTGATTATCTGCTAGTAACATGATATAGTCTGATTTTAGATTGAGTACTCCTCAGGAGCAGAGGAGGGTTGTCCTGGAGCAGGTGCTGGGGAGGAAGACTAGGGTTAGGACAGGACAGCTCGGTACCATGTGTTTGGTACTCGAATGAAGGGCTGATAAAAACAAATTAGAGTTTAATGTTTTTCCTTACTCATAACCACATCTCTCCAATGTGTTAGTTGCTTCTGAAGAAAATCTATTTGTAGCATTCTGTTAACGTATTTGTAAGCAATCTGTAATTAAATGCGATAAGCACTTTAATAATAAAGACATTCTTTCTTCAACAAAAGAAATTATGTTTTATTGTACTATTTTTTTCAGCTCTCATAGTCTCCATAAGTCATATTCAGCCATATGATTTAAAAGCAACATAAAGGAACCTTGTCTCCAGTGACCTTGAGATCTCATGAAATAAGGCTCATGTAACAAGTACACATCTTCATTAGTAATATACTAGCTCCAGTTCACAGATCATCATCAAAGTCCTCCCCAGTTTTAAAGAGGTCACATAGTAGCACAGGTTGGGGTTGCTGTTCCACCTTGACTGTGGGCCCACCCTCTGTGTGATAAGTCTTTGGGTCCCATGGCTGCTTAATGCAGGCGATCCCCACCCTAGTGGCAGTGTGTGAGGCCCAAGGAGGCTGGAGAACAGGAGGAGATCTCCTGGGGTGGCCTGCCCCCAGGCTCAGGGTCCAGGGCTTAGGCTGTGCTGGATCAGCTGATCTGAGGCCTGTCTGAAGTGGTCCTGGGGTCTCTGTGTCCACATGGGAACTCTTTTCAGATGATAAAAGAAATTGTTCCCATTTAGAAGATGCAACTTTAACTTGCTCTGCAGGCCTGGGTGGTTCCCACTGAGGAGGAGTGAACTCACTGGTATTCCAGTCCTCTGAGTTCTGGAGGCAGCTTCCTTGTTTGACTTTCCCTGTTAGGTCAGTGTAACCCTGAAATAAAAAAAGAGCAGAAGATGGCCACATCCTGCTTAGAAGAACGAGCTCCAATAGGCTGAGGCAGAGGAAGAGGAAGTTACAAGTTCTAGAACATCCTACTCTTTGTATCTACAGGCTAGTTCTTAAACTGAAGAGATTTTGTAAGGTTAATCTCAATGCAAATTCCCCACTAAATTCCATGATTAGGATTTCCCCTCAAAAAGAAAATATTTTCATGTAACAATTTCACCTCGCTTGGCTCCACAATCAACACTCTTGGCACCACAATCAGGAAAACAAAAAGATTAATTGTATTGGGAAAATCTGCTGTCAGGGACCCTTTCAAAGTGCTAAAGAGTAATGATGTCAGTCTAGGGACTAATGTGCACCTGATCCAGGTCATAGTTTTCACAATTACTTGATATGCATCAGAAAATTAGACAAATAACAGACGAAGAATTGAAGAACCTTTCAATTATGGTGCTGGAGAAGAGTATTGAATATACATACCATGGACTGCCAAAAGAACAAACAGGTCTTTTTCAGAGAAGGTGAAATCAAGTTCCTCATTGGAGGAAGGATTTTGAAGCTCTCACATACTTTTGAGTACATGGCCAGGAAAGACTGGTCCTTGGCGAAGGACATCATGCTTGGAAGGGTGAAGAGACCAGTGCAAGAGAGAAAGACCCTGGATGAGATTAATACAGTGACTTGGGTAATGGGAGTATTTGTGTTGGAGTCAGTGAGACAGGCTCAGAATAGGGCAGGCTTCGAGGATGGGAATCTTAAAGTCAGGTAGAGGCCCTGAAGAAGGTGAGAGTAGAAAGGGCCCTTAGACCCATCTGGATAGGGATGGGTGTGGATGCCACCCTGCTGCTCACTCGCTTTCATGGATCTGCATTGCTGGGTGGAGGAGGTTGAAGCCATGTGTAGCTGTATGAAGGCCCCTGTCAGGCCACAGTCATTTGTTCTAATTCACAGTGACCCTCCACTAGGTTTCTGGGGCTGTAAATCATGATGGGAGGAGGGCATCCATGTTTCTCCTGTGTAGCTGCTAGTGGATTTGAAACTCCATAAGCCTTTGGGTTAGCAGCACAACTTGCTACAGGCTATGCCACCAGAGCTTCTTCAGTAATCAACGCAATAAAAGCTGGGCCCACACAAAATAGCTCGAAAAGCAGTGATAATAGCAGGACCCTCTGGAGGTATTGTCACCAGGCCATGTGGAAGACACTTTGCCACTGAGATGCTGGCTCAGCCTCTGAATTTGCTGTGACTTTGGTCTAGTCACTAAGCCTTGCCAACCATACTTGCTTACCTTCAAATCAGAAAAAACCCACGCAACAACAAAATGGACTTGTGATTATTAAGCCTGATAATGTCAATGCTTGGCCCTGGGGCTAGCATGTGATAAACACTTATTAACTATTATCATTATCACTTATAGTGCATAATTTGAGCATTAAGGTCACTGAACTTAGAAGTGACAAAACCCTCAACTCTGAGTCTTCTGACTTAGAAGTGATCTGAGACCTCAGCACGGCAAGATCTGAGAAGCAGCCAAGGCCAACAGTAGCATGGGCTGGCGCTGTGGCAGTGAACCACAGCAAACTGCTACTTGCAGACTCCTCCCCTCAGTCCTTTAGCTCCCATGGGGGCATGAAGCCAGGAGGACTCTGTGAAGCCTTCACAAAGAGTTCAGGAATCTATGTTCTGCAACACAGTGGATACAGTGGAGACAGTTGGATGTGAAACTGTAAAAGCAAGAACACTTGCTAATTGAATACAGTGTCTCAAATGCTAAAGTCTGTGATGAAGACAGTAACACATCCTGAGAAGTGCAGGACAGGTCTTATCTGTAACAGACTGACAAAGATCCCACAGTGTCTGCAGAATGAAGAAAATGTCCTGACTCCAGCAATCCTTCCTGGGCAGCGGTAGCTCTGAGGCATCAAGGTGGCCTCCTGACCACTAGTGAACATCGCAAGAGAGGACAAAGATGAGAGGGAAGTGGCATACATAGGCCAGAGGAAGGAGGTGGTCTATGACCAACACCAGACACTTGAGTAGAAAACTGGGCTTTCCAAGTGTGTTTCATACTTCATAAACTGTTAAAAGAAAAAAAAATTGTTGCTATTTTAAGGTGCCATCGAGTTGACTATAACTCATATCACTATGAGTGATAACTCATATGCTATGAACAACAGGTCAGAACTTCACACTATCCTGCACCGTCTTCACGATGTCTGCCATGCCTGAGCTCACTGGTAGTCACTCTGTCAATCCATCTCTTCTATTTTTCTGACTCTCCACCTTTTTCAGCATGGTATCCTTTCCCAAGGACTGGCCCTTCCTGACAAAATGCCCACAGTATGTTACCAGCCTTGCCTCTAAGAAGCGCTCTGGCTGCCCTTTTCGCAGCTTAGATCTGTTTGATCTTTTGGCAGACCAGGGTATAATCAATACTCTTCATTAACATTACAAAACCTTACAACTCAAAGGTACTGATTCTACTTCACTTATCCTCATTCAGTGCACATGGAACAAATGAAAATAATATGGATTGAATCAAATAGTGAAAGAAAAGAAATTACAATATGAAAAGTTCCATGTATACTCAGTGATATAAGAAGGGAAACACTGACCTGGGGATGCAAGGTGACCTCAGAGTCCACTCTGTGCCCTGAGCCCGGAGGCTGGACTGGACATGCGCTCCATTTCCTGTTGTGGAAGAAAGTGCTGTCAGCTCCCCCAGTCCTGCCTTTGGAGCGTCTCACAGATTCTGCCTCAGTGGAACCTGTCCTGTCCTGACAACACTCTAGCACAGGAATCTTTTCATCTCTTATGGCTTCCTAGGTCTATGTAGCTTCTGGTCTTCCTCCAGTAACAGCCTGCCAACTTCTATCCATGGTGGTCTGTTTATCAATAGCTTCAAGTTGTTGGAAAGTTCTTCCCCCCCACCATTCATTCATTGTTGCACTTTTCTCCCTGCCCACCCCACACCCAGAAAATTCTTATTTTAAACTGAAATCTAGGGGGCTGTAATGGCCTAGTGGCAAGAAGCTGCACTGCAATCCCAGAGATATATAGTTCGAATCCACCAGATGCTCTGCTGGAGAAGGAGGGGCAATCTCCTCCTGTACCAGTCAGATCCGATTTGATGGTACACACGCAAAAAATAAAAAACAACAACAACAACACAAAACTGAAATCTACTTCCTGTCCTATATAAGAACCCAAGCTCCTTGATAGTTTTCTTCTCTAGACCAAAAGCTCACAGCTCTTTAGCTCCTTACACCACACTCAGTTTTGCCAACCCTGCCTTAAAAGGCACTTCGCCCCTCACATTACTACAGCCTGAGATGCTCGGAATCTAGTGACCATTATAGAAAGGTGGTCACCATGGTGTCTGTCCAGCTTTCCTCTGCACTTAAAGCACCCAGGCCCACGGAGGCCGAGGAGGGCCAGTCCCAATGGCTCTACCTGTCAGTACCCTCACCTGGGCTTATTACACGGTGCTGACTGCTGGATGTGGTTCCCCAGACCCTGTCTCCCCTATTCCAAAAGTCAACAAGAGCAGTGTCTGAGGTCTGCACTGCTGACTAGCTTGGCACCTTTTTCTAGAAACGTTGTTCTTGAAGGGAGAGTCAGGCTTCTCTGATTTGGATGAAGGTGGTCTGCTGAAATACATTCCTTCTTCTGGTTCTAGTTCCTTGGATCCTTTTTCCAGGTACTTAAGCCAGCGGCTTTCTGTGGGCTGCAGTGTTTCCTACAAGATTGGGAAATGAGTTAGAAAACAGGCACCTTAACTGAAATTGGCCAGGCCCACTCTTCGGTTCCAGGGTCTCAGAACTCATGTCTACCTCGTCATCCAGGAAAGGTGAAAATGGATGCCTGAGCAGCCCTGGGGTCAGTGCACATGAGCAGCTGCCGGCGATCCCGCGGATGCCAGGCAATGTACTTAAACAGGAACAAATACTTCAAATGGCAAAATTTGGGAACTACCTAAATGCCCCATAATAAAGGTATGATGACTGGCACATCTGCAAATTGCAATCTTTTTTAAGAAATAAAGATCATATGCACACCCATGTTTATTGTGGCTTTGTTCACAATAGCAAGGAACTGCAAATGACACAGGTGCCCATGAACAAACAAATGGATAGAGAAGCTGTGGTATATTCACACAATGGAATACTACGCTGCAATGAAAAACAAGGAACTCATGCAATATTATTCAAAATGGGTGACCCCGGAGGACATTATGCTGAGTGAAATATCTCAGTCACAAAAGGACAAATACTGCATGGTGCCACTGCTGTAAAATGGGACTGATATCAGGGTTGGGGTAAGACTGAGAAAAACTGGATAAATTGTGTATACTGTACTGAAATAGATGAGGGAAAGAATAATTTAAAAGCGATGTATGATAGGGTATAATGGTTTATCACAAGAGTCCACAATTAAGGTTGCACAGTGGAGTGTACTTGGGGCGGTGGGATGGGTGTGGGGGGATTGTATACCAAAGAAAGAATTTTTCTTTTACTTTTCAAAGAAAAGAGCGAACTGGGGCGGGGGAGCAAGGGGGAGGGCTGGGCAGGGAGAAAAGTGCAACAATGAATGAATGGAAATCCAAAATCTCTGTAAATGTTCATTAAAATTATTTAAAATAATATATAAAAGATCATGAATACTCTAGAGTCAGCACGGAACAAAAATATTAGTTAAAAACTTAGGATGCAAAAAGTATTTCTCAAAATAAAAACAGTATAAAATGAAGTCTGTAAATGGAAGTGTATGCACAAAGACACAAGAGCTGTATTAAAGTGCCATGCTTTACAACATGATCCCTCTTTCCATAAGACTTCCGAGGCCAAGCAGAGCAAAGGCAGGGCCCAGGCAGCAGGAGCTGCAGGAGCATCAGGGGCAAGTCGGTTCCAGGTGGGCACAGGGTCTGCTATATGCGCCTGAGCTCACAGCCTCTTCCTGGCAGGACTATGTGTTCCATGTGCCCGCAGCACCAGTGGTCACCTGCACACACTGCCCACCGCTGACTTTGAGCATCTCTCCGGCAGCCTTTTCACTACACACTGGAGACAGAACAACTGGACTTGACCCCACTCTCCAGAAGTTCAGAGTCTGGTAGAAAAGGAATGCATAAGGCTACTGCAAGTAGCAAATAGGAATAAGATATATAATTGTTTAAAAGGGAAAGGGGACAAAAGATTTAAAAGAAGGAAGAAGAAATCTCTAGGACAGCAGAGATTATTAGGGGCATAGAGAGTGATTCAATAGGTTAGCTGCAAGAGAAAATCAAGATGATGAGTGGATTAACAGTTCAATCAATGATAATTATATAAAACAATGTGCAGAAATGATTGTATAAAACAAAATGTACATGAATGAAACAATATACATAAATAATTGTATAAAAGTAAATGATGGGCATAAAGAAATATTTTTTTTTTTAATGGAAAGGAATGTGGAAACCCCAGAACCACACTACAGCATCTTTCCCCTACTGGAGGAATGCCCAGTGTTGTGGGAAGAAAGGGAAGGAAACATACGGGGTAAAGTTCGAGCTAAGTTAACAAGCTGTCCAGGCTGATTGAAGACAAAGTCCTCCCGGATCACTGTCATTTGTGTACACATGCCTGTCTCCACTCTTACAAGACAGACATCCATTTTCGTGTTTCCTATAGCTTCAACCAAGGTACTTGTCATTCAGTGGCACCAGTGTCTGTGGACTAAAACAGAACTCCCTAAGTTATAGAGAACACCTCGCGATCTCAGGCCAGACTTGAGAGACGCCCCTGGCTTCCCTGTAGACTCACATTTTCAGTCTGCTGATGGCCTGCATGTTCCTCTTCATTGGCATTTACAGATTCCTCCAGAGACCTGAGGGCAAGATTGTACACACGCTTTTATTAAAATTATGAGGACAGATGCAATAACTTGATAATGGATTCTTGTGGGGAATCTGAGGAGCTTTGCTGTTTTGAAGTGATCCCCTAACCTTCCAGCAGTTGAGAAGGCTTGGGCCAGAGGGCTGCTTACTTGGATTCAGACTGAGAAAACCCTCATTTACCAGGAAAACATGACATAGGCAGAAGATGCACACTCTGTAGCAGAGACCAGAGTTTGAATCTGGGCTTTGCCAGTGACTATCTGTGTCTGTGTGTGAGACTTTGGACATAACACTTAGTGCCTCCTCTGTTTCCTTATCGACAATGGGGATAAGGCTGCATGGATGACTTTGAAATGAGGTTAACCTGTATAGTACTGCTCAGAGGCTGACAGAGAATGTCAGCTGACTAGTTCTGCCAAACACAATGGAGCGATCCCATCAGATAGAATTACATGCAGGAGATGAGAAGGAATGTTACTGAGCTGGCCTTGCCAGTAATTCATCTGGCCCTTTCAGGGTAAGGGAGCTCTTTTACCACAGAAAGCAGACAGCAAAGGGGCAGAGCACATATGGTCTTGGTAGAGTTGAAGGGCCAGTGATCTGAAGAATGAGGACCTAAGGTCACATCCATCTATATAGCAGAGTTGTTACAGAACCTGATAAAACTGGCTCGCCATTAAATGAAATAAAACCCTCTGAATGCTACTATATGTGGGCCCCTCTACCTCAGTTTCTTTATCTAAGAAAAGCATTATGTCTCTCAGATCTTATCTCTCTTCAGATCCTACCTTTGCCCCATTCTCTCTTGCTGGAACTCATCTCCGTATCCTCCATGCCTCTCAACTTTCCCCTCACATGTTTGGTTAGTTTTTTTTTTCTTTCTTTTCTTTTTATGCTGCACTGTGGATAATTTTTTCAAATTTCTCTTCCATTTTAGTCATTCTCTTCTCAGCTACTTTGAGTTTGTTCAACTAGTCTATTGAATTTTTCATTTCAGTGGCTAGATTTTTTAATTTTATAGATTCTTTTACATCCATGATTGGTTATTTCTGAAGTCTCTTCTGCCTTATATTACCACCTCTTATTTCATTAAACATATTAAATATACATTATATATTGTGAAATCTTTGTGGATATGATTTTTCTCTTGTTATGGCTGACCAGCTCATAATGACTTGCTTCTTTAATGAATATTTAATGATTTTCAACTTTGTGCTTCAAATTTTATCAGTGGGATACTCTGAGGCCCAAGTGGAAAATGTGTTGCTCAAGAACTGCATTTGCTGCCTAGGACACTTTAAAAAGAAACTCTTGGCTCAAGGCTTTTCACACAGGAGAGGCAAAAAGCTATTTACTATCTGTCCCCCCTCCAGTCACTGCAGAGATGAACAAAAGCCCTGCTGTGAGTTGGTGTGTCCCTAGTTGGCTTGCACACTGGAGAAGTGGTCATGCAGAGAGTCTATGTGGCTGGACATCCGCACTGAATGGGTCCTATGCTCCATCTCTTGTCTCCCACATCCCACACAGACAACACACAGAAGCTCCAGAACACGAGGCTTCAGTTACCTCAGCAGCTCCAGTGCTCATTCTTTGGATGTGGGCTCTTACATCATTTTCACCTTTGAAGGTTACATACTTTCTTACCAGCTCATCAGTGCACTAAAAAAACCCCTCTGGACCCAGTATTTTTAGTAACTTTCTGTGGGAGGACTGTGCAGTGTAATTAAGACATGGAAATCCAAGATATCTCCACTGTACACTTCCAATATTCACTCAAGAAGACAAAGAATGAAAATTTAAAAAAAAGAAGGAAAGTGAACTGGGGGAGGGGGGAACAGAGAGAGGGAGGAAAATGTGCAATAGTGAATGAACAAAAATCCAACTTTTCTATAAACGTTTGTTAAAAATCACAGTTTAAAAAACTGGGGGGGGGGGGGGTGGCGGGGGGGAAAGGCCAAAAACTGAGCAAAAGAATCAACACTCCTCTCAACCAACTTTACCTGAATAACATCTCTGAAGCCTGTCCTTGCAGCAGATTTAATTTTTGGACATGACGTCTACAATCAGCACCAGAGCCCTCTCCATAAGCCTGAGAAACAAACAAACAAAATCTCACATTAAGTTTGAAGAGTGCTGGCAGATGTTGAGAAGTAGATCATTAGAGATGGGCCTTGGGGAGGTAAAGCTGTAGTCGGCAAGGCCCCAAGATGATGGAAGGAATCCTAATGACTGCCGTTTATAGACTGACTTACAAATGAACAGTCTCAGGAACTAACAGTTTAAGTCTATCTGGCTGTCCCACCAATAATCACACTCTACATATCAAAGCCATAGTCAACTTATTGGACATCTTTTTTTTTTTTAAAAAAAAAAACCCTAACCTTTTTATTGCAAATTTGTTGAAGGTTTACAGAGCCTATCAGTTTTCCACTTAATAGTTTATAAACTTTTTGAGTAAAAATTTATAGACTAGAGGGGAGCTCTGGTGGCCGAGTGGCAAGAAGCTGCACTGCAATCCCAGAGGTACACGGTTTGAATCCACCAGATGCTCTGCCAGAGAAGGAGGAGCAATATCCTTCTGTACCAGTCAGATCTGATTTGACGGGACATGCACACAAAATTAAAAAAATTAAAAAAAAAATTATAGACTAAATTGGTTTAGAGATAAAATTTTAATAATCATGAAAAAGAAGCCCATAGATATGTACAATGATACTTACTCCTTACTGATAATCAAAGAAATACAAAATGAAGTCAGATATAATTTTTCACTCAGCTTTATCCTGTTCAACAAAAATTTATCTGCCAGACCCTGGTCTAGGAGTTATTTTATGTCCAGTTATTTACATAAGAGTTATTTACATAACTGGACATAAAAACCACGGTGGTGAACAATGATCACCATCCTCATGGAGCTTCCATTCTAGTGACGAGAAACAGATGGAAAACAAGAAGAAAAATATTTGGCCTACTGGAATACTCTTGCTGAGGCACTAAAGCACATCAAAGACCATCAGAGCCTTCAGTATGATTACACAGAGAAAACATAAATCTTCACCACTAGACCAAAAAACAGCATTATGGTAAAAGAAGAAAACATTGAAGTTGTCAAGGATTCCATCTTACTTGGACCCACCATCAACAACTAGGAAGCAGCACTTAGTAATACACAATGTATTACTGCACAGGGCAAATCTGCTGACAAAGATCTTTTTAAAGTGTAAAGAGCAAGGTACACCTGACCCAAGAGATAGTACTTTCTTTTTTTTAAAAAAAAACACAAAGAGTTAGTATTTTCAATTACTTCATAGGCATGAAAAACACAATGAATACGGAAGAATGAAGAAGAATTGGTACCAGTGAATTGTGGTGTTGGTAAAGAACTGCAAATGCACCACGTTCTGCAAAAAAACTCAAACAACTCTGTCTTTGAACAAGTGCAGCCAGGCTGCTCCTTAAAAATGAAAACTGTGACGTTTTTCCTCATATACTTTAGACATGGTGCCAGGAAGGGCTAGTCCTGGGAAAAGGACATTGTGCTTGGGAGAGTAGCCAGCGAAAGGGAGGAAGACCCTGAATGAGATGGAGTGACACAGGAATGCAACAATGGACTTCAGAACAGTGGAGATGATGACGATGGTGCAGGACCAGCCGGGGTGTCAACTGCTGTATAGAGTCACAAGAGTGAGAATCAACAAGACACCCAACAGAACACCCCCCCACCCCAGCCACACCCTGAATTCAGACTTCTAAACTGCTGAACTTTGAAACACTGCTTCTGTTTTTTAAAGTTACCAACTTGTGAGGAGGGACTGGTCCTTGGAGGACATCACTCTAGGAAGGGTGGTGGAAGGTGCAGGAGAGAAAGACCCTGGATGAGATGGATAGATACCGTAACGGGGCAATGGGGGTGAGTGTGTCAGGGATGAAGAGGTTGGCTCAGGACAGGGCAGGTTTCAGAGCTGTTGGACATAAGGTCATTGTGAGTTGCAGGCGAGTCAAAGGTACATAACAACTTGTGATAGTTCTGTGAGAGCAGCATTAGCAAGAAGGAGCCCTGGTGGTGGTGGTGTGGCTAAGAGCTGCTATCTGAAAAGTCAGCAGATTGAACCCAATTTCTTTACAGGATAAAGATGTGGCAGTTCTGATTCTAGAAATGTTACAGCCTTAGAAATCCTACAGGGCAATGCTACTCTGTCCTAGAGGGTCATTATGAGTCAGAATCAACTCAACAGTACACAACACTACTATCAAACTATGGCAAGAGTCAAGGATGGCTTCAAGGTTTTCAGATCAAATAACCAGAAAGAAGGACCTGCCATTTAAGAAATGAGGAAGATGCCAGGAAAAGCACTTGTACCGGGTTAGATCAGGGGCTTCTGTTGGGACATAGCAAGTCAGCGATGCTGCTCAGATATCTAAGTAGAGAGTCAGGTGGGAGGAAGTGCACACAGTGCAGGGGATCCTGAGTTGACCTGAGTTGACAAAAGATCTTATGTCAGCTTCCTAAGGGAGTGAGTGAAGCCAGGGCGGGGGTGAGACAGGACTGTAGGGCACCTCAAGGACGGTGCTGCTTGGCGGGGCTTCATTCTCTTGCACACCAGGTCACTGGAACTGGAACTGACTCCAGACACAACAATATCTTATGGAAATAACTGGTTAAGTGCAAGGAAACTTAAACTAAATGACATCCTTACAGGGCTGGTTACTTATTCACTCAGAAATAATTGACTGAGCTTATCATCTTTTTCCTTTCATAGGGGAGCTCCCTCCCTTTGAGACAGACTTTCCTAATAAATTTATCATTACTATTTCACCCTCAAAAGAAATATTGACCGAGCAAATACTAAGTGCCAGAGGCCGTGCCAGCTGAGAGGGTACACCAGTAAAAGATCCAGGTCAAGCTTCTGCGCTCACAGTTCATAATCTAATTGGAGATGGGGACAGAGCTCGCACAAATACTCGCTTAAAAACTCTCTGCTGTCAAGTCAGTTCTGACTCACAGTGATCCTCCATATCAGGCTTCCGAGGCTGCAAACTGCAATGGGAAGAAACTGCCCCTTTTTCGTCCAAGGAGCTGCTGGTGGCTCCAAACAGCTGGAGACATGCAGTCTTTGGTTAGCAGCATGACCGGCCATGGACCACGCCACCAGAGCTCCCCCAATCAACCCAGCAACCCACAATTTCCAAATTGGATAAAGGGAAGAATCAGCAAAAGTCCCAACAAAAACCACAGAGGTGCGACAGGAGGGGATTTCTGGACTGTTTCCAAGTCCGAAAGCAGGAGTGGAGGCTGACGGATGTGGGCCAGGAGACGAGGTGGGGAGGACACAAGAACTGGCTCACGTGGCTGAGTGGTTTTGATAAAACAGACGCTTCTTTGTAGGATCTATAATGGCACGGAGGTGGGCATGGGTGGATTTGAAAAGATGTCCACTAGGCGAGGCAAGCAAAATAGTTAAAGTGTTCATAACATGCTCCTTCAATCTGAATGTTCCCCAAGTCCCTCCAACCACCTCCGCTTCATGCTCTCACCTCTCCCACACTCTGCACCACTGCCAACCCTCTCCTCACCCCCTTTTCTTCTGACAGTTTGATTCTCTTTTCTTCTGACAGTCCCCTGTACTTTCCCTTTAGTGTGCTCAGTCTGGTTTTAAATTATGTATGTGCAGTAGCAGAGAGAGAGAGAGAGAGAGAGAGAGAGTGTGTGTGTGTGTGTGTGTGTGTGTGTGTATGAGTCTCAGTTCCGGGAGGGCAAAGAACAATTTTCATTCCCCATGATCTCCCCTATGCAAACCTCCTTGAAAGTACACAATACATATTTGCTGAGTAAATAACCCAATGAAGGCAGAAGGCCAGACTCTGCTCTCAGTGCACTCCCGGAGGGACAGAGACCTACGCAGCAGTGTACCCGTGTGAGAAGAACTGGCCCCGTCTGGAACGCTGCGACCTCTGCAGTGCTGGGTCCCCCGCTTTCTGCACTGGTATCAGGGGCCGTGTTTCACAGAACTTACCCGCAGGAAGGACTGCTTCTCACCACACGCTTTGCATGTCCATTTAAGACTCTTTTTTACCTATAAGGAAAGTTTTAGAAATAAAGCTCATTTTATTATTTAAAGCAGGGTGAAACTGACATAGTAATGAGAAACAAAAAAAAAAAAGATCAATGGAAAAGAGAGTCCAGAAACAAACTGACACTAGAATGAAAATTTAGGAAAAAGGTGGCATTCTGAGAGTGAGAAAGAAAAGACTAATATATGTTGTTAATGTGTCATTGAGGCAGGGATAACTCACAGCAACCGTATGAATGACAGACACGAGCCCTGCCCTGTCCTGTACCATCCTCATCATGTCTGACACACTGGAGCTCATTGCTGCAGTCACTGAGTCAGTCTGTCTCATTGATGGTCTTTCTGTTTCCCTGACCTTCCACATTTAGATGCATGATGTCCCTCTGCAAGGAATAGCTTCTCCCTAGCAACATGCCCTCCTCTAAGGAGCACCCTGGCTGCACCTTCTCTGAGATATATCTATTTGTTCTTTTGGCAATCCATGCAATAATCAGCATTCTTCTCCAACATCACAACTCCAAGGCGTCGATTCTTCTTCTGTCATCTTTAGTCACTAACTCTCAGATACATAGCAAGTAACTGAAAAGACCATGGCTTAAAAACAAGAGCATGCACTTAGCATAGAGCACTGGGAAAACAGGCTATATATTTGAAACAACAAGTTACATTTCTAACACTACTTTCAAAAATATATTCTAGGAATTGAAGATAAAGGGAAAGAATTTACATTTTAAAAAATATGACACATAATATGGAGTTTGTTCTCATGGTCATTTACAACTCTAGGAAAGAAATAATTTGAAATAATATCAAAACAGGAAGCTAATTAAATAAAATTCCTCAACATATAATTCTGATACCTGATAAACTCATGCAGAAGGGTTCACATCTATTTTTTTTGTTTAAGTGTTAATTTTTAACATGTCTGAGCTCAATTTTAAAGTGGGAGAATTACTACAAGCATTTTCATGAAAGCCAAGAACATGCTAAGGATTCCTCTTACCATTTTTTTCCTAGATGTACTAGTCAATGGAATTAGAAAAAAGAAAATAGTAAGAGGAAAAATCATTGGAAAGGAAGGAAAAAACCCCTTTCATTATTTACAGATGACATGATTCCATTTCACCTGAGAATCAAATGGCAAAACTACTTAAAAGCAGCAAGACAATCTAGTACAGTGGCTTAATATACACTCAAAAATTCAGTGCTCCTTAGAGGCAAGGATGGTGAAGTTTTTGCCTTGCGTACTTTGGGCATATTGCTAGGAGAGGCTATTCCCTGGAGAAGGACATTATGTTTGGAAAGGTGGACAGATGGCGAAGGAGAAGAAGGCCCTTAACCAGGTGGACAATGACCACAGTAAAAGGCTCAAGTGTGTCAGAGATTGGGAGGTGGGCACAGGACAGAACACGATTCAGATCTATTGTTCATAGGGTCGCTATGAGTCATACTCGACTCAACGTCACCTAACAACTGCCACTGAGTAGATTCTAACACACAGTAGACCGTTAGGACAGAGTACAATTATCCCATAGGGTTTCTTTATAGAAGTGAATTACGTGTCTTTCTCCCACAGGATGACTGATGAATTTGCGCCATGGATCTGTCAGTCAGCAGCTCACATGTGTATTATACTTTATAATTTATGTATGTAAACATCCAGTTAGGAGAGATAATGTAAGAAGTTAGTTCATTTATGCTGTTGCTGCTATTGTCAACAACAATGTAATATGTTTTCTGATTGCCTGGCTGCTGGTACCAATAGTGTGGACTGAGGACCCAAGCAAGATAAAATCATTAACAATGTCTCTCTCTTCTCTATCTATCATGCTGTGGCCTATTAACCTGGTGGTTTGTTTATAAGATGTAACTCATATTGAAAGTCTTTGACCTAAAGGATGCTCATCTAGATGATAACATAATTATGATAAAAACAAAAGGGGGGAAATATGGGAAGCCAATACTAAATATTTGTAATAAACTGAATGCTATTAAAAAAAACAACAAACTTAGATCAATAGAAATTAATGACAGGTGCAATGTATATGAATAATTATGTAAGGCACAATGTAAGTGAAGGATTGCAAAAAACACAATGTACATGAATGACTGTATGCAAACAATAAATAATATATATATAAAAAGAAGTCTGACCATCTGCCAAAAGTGTTTCAAGTTCTCACTTTCAGCAAGCAAGGTTGTGTCATCTGCATAGTGTAGGTTGTTATTCTTCCTCATACAGTCCAGCTTCTTGAATTGTTTGTTCTGCATGCAGATTAAAAGAAGTATGGGGAAAAGATACAGATTTAAGAAACTTGGAAGCAGGACGGGTCATTCACTTTTGAAATAACAGTCTTTGAAAACCCTATTAACACCAGAGGTCACTGTTGTATATAGGACTAGAGGTAGTGCCCTAAGACTGGAACAGTTATTATGAGGGGAAACAGCTGCAAACATACATTAATAACTGGAACATGGAATTTACGAAGTATGAATATAGAATTAAAAGTTGTAAAAAATGTAATGCAATGTATAAGCACTGACATTATAGGCATTAGCAAGTTGAGATGGACTGGCATTTGCTACTTTGAATCAGAAAATTATATGATCTACTATGCTGGAAATGAAAAATTGAAGCAAAATGGCATTGCATTCATAGTAAAAAAAGAACATTTCAAAATCTATCATGACATACAATGTCATGAGTAACAGGATACTATCCATACAAACGTGAGACAGACCTGTTAATACAATTATTATTAAAATGTATGCACCAACAACTAAAGCCAAAGGTGAGGAAATTGAGGATTTCTACCAACTTGTGTGGTCAGAAATTGACTGAACATGCAATCAATATCCATTAATAATAATTAGTGACTGGAATGCAAAAACTGGGAACAAAGAAGAGGAAATGGCAGTTGGAAACTATAGACTTGGCAACAGGAACGAGGATAGAGAACAAATGCCTGAATTTTGTACAATCAATGATTTATTCATTTCAAGTGTCTTTTCCAAAAACATAAGCAGTGACTACACAAGCGACTTGACAGAATATAACAACAACAGCATGATACACAAGGGCCTCACTTGATGGACTACACAGGAATCAGATTGACTGTATCTGTGGAAATAATCTTTGGAGAACCTCAATATCCGCAGTCAAAACCAGGCCAGATGCTGACTGTAGAACAGATTACTCAAGTTAAGTGCAAACTGAAACTGAAGAAAATGAAAACAAGTCCATAAGAACCATGAGTCTCTCCTACCTGAATTTAAAGATCATCTCAAGGATAGGGTTTATTTTTGTTTTGTTTTGTTTTTTCTTAAGAATAGGTCTGAGGCACTAACAAGAAATCCATGAAGAAAGCAAAAGGTCATTACAAAGATGGGAGAAAGAAAAAACCAAAATGGATGTTAGAAGATAATCTGAAAATTGCACTAGAATGCTGAGAAGTCAAAGTGAAGAATTGCTGATGTAAAAGAGTTGACTAGAAGATTTCAAAGGACAGCTCAAGAGGACAAAGTATTATGAAGGAATGTGCAAAGAGCTAAAGCTGAAAACAAAAAAGGCAAGAACTTGCTCTGCATTTCTCAAATGGAAAAACAAATTCAAGCCTCAAGTTACAATACTGCCGGATGCCAGAGGTAAAAATCCTCATTGATCCCAGAAGCACCAAAAGATGGAAGGGATATACTGAGTCACTGCACCAAAAGGAACTGGCAGACACAAAACCATTTCAGGAAGCAGAGCATGATCAAGGGCCACGGGGTGATGAAAGAAGTAGCTGAAGTTCCACTGAAAGCATTGGCAAAAAATAAGTCCCCAGGAACCCGACAGGATACTAACTGACATGTTTCAACTAACGGATTCAGCTCATCAAACTATGTCAGGAAATTTGTTGGATAGCTACCTGGCTAACTGACTGGAAGAGCTCAATATTTGTCCCCATTCCCAAGAAAGGTGCCGTCAGTGTTCTGAAAATCACTCATTGATTTTATAATTTTTTTTTATGTTTTAGCTGTAATATTGTAGTAATTAGTATCTGTGAACTACATCAACATCTTTTTTGAGAATGAAGTAGTAAAGGAAAAGAAAAATAAAAGGTTTCCTCCCCGTTACTAATCAACAACGTACTTCGGTGCAAAACCAGTCTTATTGTTTTCTCTCTCAACTGCCTGAGTCAGAACCAACTCATAGCTGACCCTCCAGCAGGTTTTTGGGAGGCAATAAATAGCACAAGAGATGGACTACATCTTTCTCCTGACAGTCGATGAGAGGTTACGTTTGGAGGAAAAGGCAACTTCTTACGGATTATGCCACCTTTGTTTAAGAAATAATACATTTAGGCAATCAACTAGTATCTGTCACATTTTATTCTATGATTAAAAAGAATAATGATTTTGTACAGTATGAGACTGGGGGAAGTCCACGAGGAAAGGCTGCTGAACTGTTTCTATTTAGGTAAAAGGTGCAGTGGAAATGTTTACCGGCTGTAAAACAGAACTTACAAAATACTTTCTTAGGACAACGAAGGACTTTGCCTAGCCCTTGGGCAGAAGTTTTAATCAAGGGGCTTTGTTTTGGAAAGCTCTTTCACTTGGCTGCTAATCAAAGGTTGGTGATTCAAGTCTACTCTAGGCACCTGAGAAGAAAAGCCTGGCTGTCTGAAAACCAGTCACTGAAAAGCCTGTGGAGCACACGTGGGGTCCTCATGAGTGAGAATCCACTGGGCACATGGAAGGGGTCGGCGATCGTTATTTAAGGTTGTGATTACGTGCCTTCGAGTCAACTACGACTCATAGCGACTCTATGAACAAGATCTGTTGTCATAGGAGCTAGACAAGGCTGTTAGGCAGGACAAGCTGGAGGATGATCTAGCTGAAAATACTTAAGGACTGTTCCTGCTCTGGAAAGCTGGCTTAGAGTCTCTCCCATGCAAATAAGCAGCGCAGAACCAAGGAGTGTCACCAGGGGGCGCGATCCACACTTTCTGCCATCTGCCTGGTATTGAATTAAGGGGATTTGGATAAAGATAGGAGATGGAGTCTTCGCTGAAATCATTGCCCCTTGGTTTTTATTAATCTTAGTGCGTAGGGGAACCACAAACCCAACAAAGAAGGTCCAAACAACAGCAAGGGGCGGTCGACCACAGCAGAGCCCAGCCCTCACAGTATAGTCACTTCCACTTCTCTGGGCCCCAGGAACACCCAGGAAGCGCATGGGCCTGTCCAGGGCGCAGGGAGGATGCTTCAGGTTCCACAGTCCCGCCAGTCCCTGCCGTCGTCTTCACGCTGCAGACAGGAAGCCCGCACCCGACCCACCTGGTGCACTTGGAAAAGGTGGCAGCTGCAGCACCGAAGGACCCGCTGTGGCGCCATCCCAACCTCCGAGGCCACCCCGCCGCGTCTCCCGAGCTGCGGCCCCGCCCCTCCGGGTCCTGCCCCGCCCCTCGGTGGTCGGCTGGTCACGTGCAGCGGCGGGAGGGCACAGGCGTCTTGTGGCTAAATAGGGCGTGGTTGTGGGTTTGCATAGGCGACTGGGGAATCCATTCGCTGTGTGAACCTTCCCTTCGCTTTCTTAAAGGAAATTTCCTGTTGGACTGGATGCGAAGATTGCAGCACTTCTTGCTGTCTGACTGTTCTTTTCCTCCTAGTTGCCAGGGAGATGGAGGGCTTCTCTTTCCCTGTCAAAAGGACTAGTCCTGTACTCTCCACTTCCTTTTTTGCTCATAGCTAGATCCCGGTTTTTTGCCGTTTTAACTTGACCAATGCCCTCACTAGTTGTCTACACATATTTGCATGTACTCCCCCCAAAAGTGCTAGTCATCTCATTCACATCATTAGCATAGACTCACCCAGCCACGTGTTGTTGTTAATGTGCTTGCGACTCATAGCGACCCTATGTACAACAGCCCTAAACTTGGCTCTGTCCTGTGCCTATCGCACTGTCTCCGATACACCCATCCCGATTACCCCAGTCACTGAATGAATCCACCTCATAGAGGGCCTTCCTCTCCCGCTCTGTCCCTCCACCCTACCAAACTTGATGTCCCTCTCCAAGGACTGGTCCCTCCTTACTTGTCCAAAGTATGTTAGACGGAGCCTCAGAATCCTTGCGTCCAGGGAGCAGGCTGGTTTAACCCTCTCTAGGATCAATCTGTTTTTCTAGCAGTCCCTGGTACCTTCAATACTCTTCTCTAGCACCACAGCTCAAAGGCATCAATTCTCCCTCTATCCTCCTTAGTCAGCGTCCAACTCTCATGCATAACAAGTGATAGCAAAGACCATGGCATGTATCAGACACACCTTAGTCTCCAGAGAGACACCATTGCTCTTTAGTACTTTGGAGAGGTCCCTAACAGCAGACTTTCCCATTGCAACACGTCTTTTAATTTCCTGGCTACTGGTGCCAAGAGTGTCGACTGTGGAGCCAAGCAAATTAAAGCTGTGAACAATCTCAATCTCTTCACCATTCATCCTGATGCTGCCAATTGGTCCAGTGGTGAGAATATTTGTCTTCTTGATATTGAGCCTCAATCCACATTGGAGACTGCAGTCCTTGACCCTCTGCAGCAAGTGCTTCAGGTCCTCCTCAGCAAGCAGGGTAGTGTCATCTGCATAATGCAGATTGTCGATGAATCTTCCACCAATGCTGACACCACACTTCTCATAGAGCCCAGTCTCCTGGATAATCTGTTCTGCATACAGGTTGAAAAGGTATGGAGACAGGACGCATCCCTGGTGTACGCCCTTTCCAATTTTGAACCATGCAGTGTTTCCTTGCTCTGTTCTGACAACTGCCTTTTGGTCTAAGTATAGGTTTCGCATTAGCACGATCAAGTGTTCTGGGATTCCCATTCTTCTCAGAGTCAGCCACCGTTTGTTATGATTCACACAAATGCCCTTGCATAATCAATGAAACAAAGATATACATTCCTCTGGTATTCCCTGCTTTCAGCCAAGATCCATCTAACATTAGCTACAATATTCCTAGTACCATAACCCCTTCTAAACCCAGCCTGGACTTCTGGTAGTTCTCTGCTGATGTGCTGTTCCAGTCGTTTTTGGATAATCTTCAGTAGAATCTTGCTTTTATGTGAAATCAACGATATTGTTCTATAGTTTCCACACTCTGTTGGGTCATCCTTCTTTGGATGGGAACAAATATAGATCTCTTTCAGTCAGTTGGCTGAGTGGTTGTTCTCCAGATTTCTTGGCATAACTTGGTAAGCACATCCAGGGCAGCATCTGTTAGCAGAAATATGTCAATTGGTATACCGTCTATTCCTGGGGCCTTATTTTTTTTGCTATTTCGTTCAAAGCAGCCTGAACTTCTTCATCACCATAGGCTCTTGCTAGTATGTTGTTTCATAAAATTCTTCTGTGTCTGCCAACTCTTTTCGATACAGTGACTCAGTATATTCTTTCCATCTCCTTTTAATACTTCCTGGATAATTTAATATTCTGCCTAAAGCATCCTTGATTATAGCAACTCGAGGTTTGAATTTGTTCTTCAGTTTCTTGAGCTTAGGAAATGCTGAGCGAGTTAGGCCCTTTTGATTTTCTGACTCCAACTCCTTGCACATTTTAATGTATTATTTTACTTTGTC